TCTCTCATAACAGTACCATGAGTGTTGAACAGTAAGTGAAGGGTTTGAGAAGTGTTTTGCAATTGCGTTCCAGATCATCAATTATCAATCGAATTGTTATTTCCAAGAAATCATATCAGCTGAGCTCAAGCTGTGTTTCCTTGCGATCACAAAACAGGAAAAACAAGAAAAGCAAGAAACAGCACAGTGACGTGGGGGTCAGTTGTCAGTTTTGATTGGCTAAGACTATTTAACGTCATAGTTCGATACAACGATTCTATTGGTTGGATAATGACCTGGGTGTAACGTAAAGGGCAAGGCACAGCCCCAAACCAACCAGACTCAGCTGATCTACCAACCCATCAAGACGTCGAAGAAATTACGGAAAACTTTAAACAAGTTTTATAAAGAAATTAAACGCCATCTGAAGGTAAGGACTTGTGCGTCATGCAATACTTACATGTTAAGTGTTTTAATCTTAGTACTTTCTAACTTTAATTTTTGTATTCTGTACTTTATTTTTTGTCTGTAAGTTTGATTTAAACAGAGCCCCGTTCAAACCACCTTCGCTGAATTGGGCCCCTCTGTATAAATATTGTTGATAAATAAATAAATTTATAGATTTCTGTAAGGTTTTCTAGTTTTATAACGCTAGAATTCGTTTTCCGTTTGATAGTTGTTTTGCGTCATTTTGTTTCACTTTCGTTTCGTCGGATAGAATCATATTTTCCTCTTGTACCAAAAAAACATGTTCAGCTTTCAATAAACTAATTAACCATGTCTGTACATAAAGAAGATATAGTGTATTAAGAATCAAGTTTGTTTGTAGCAATTGAAAGATTCCAAGGGTTGTCTGAGATATAGCTGACTGACTTGGTTTTGATTTGGAATCAGTAAAGAAATGAATCATTCGTGCAGTGATATCATGAGCAAATGGAGTAAATCTAGTCTACAAGTTTCATGTTTAACAGTTTCTTTAATAAATGGTTGATGCATTTTTGTTGGTTTGATACAGAAGACAAGAGCCAAGTAAGTACAGCACTGCTTGGAAAGCGACGGATTAAGCAAAGCGGAACAAGAATCTACCACTCCTACAGACTGATGGTGAGTACTCGATGTATTTGATCAATCCTGACTTTGATTATAAAGGGTAAACTATGTAGAGATCTGTAATTTTAAGAGGTTTTATTTTCACAGTTTCATGTTTAACAGTTATTTTTCGAAATGGTTGATGCATTTTTGTCGGTTTGATACAGAAGACAAGAACCAAGGAAGTTCTGCACTCCTTGGTAAGCGACGGAGGAAGCAAAGCGGAAAGCAAGAATCTACCACTCCTACAGACTGATCGTGAGTATTCGATGTATTTGATCAATCCCGACTCTAATATCTTAAGATCAGTAATTTTTAAAAAAAATTTCTTAACCAAAAAACTTTGGGAAAAATTCCAAAAATTCCACACATTCCACAAATTCCACAAATTCCATCGAGAAAAAAATACGATTTCTTTTGTTATAAATTCATGCTAGCCTCGCATTCAAGATAATGTTGAGAAGGATCCATTGAAAAGAGGCTGGAATATCCACAATTAATATTCTTGATGGCTTACTATTGCACTCAATAAGGAAATCGAAGACCCGTTGTGTTCATCAGAGGAGATAGAGAGAGGAATTTGTCTGAAAACGATTTCGTTTTCTATTTTTGAAGTTTTTATCGTCATATTTCTGCAAGATTAAAGTCGCATAGGTAGCTCATAGGTCGATAGAATATCCACAATTCACAAACGATAATGTCAATCGTATCGGCTGTAGACGCATATGAAGACATGAAATTTGCACGTGACATATTATAATATTCTTAATAATAACGAAAAGAAAACATATATGATATTAAAACAAGTAAAAAAAAATTTTTTACAAGATCAAGATGGAATTAGATTATGGTAAATTTTTGAAATTATTATGTGATGATTACAAATGATTTAGGAAAAAATAGATTATCAATAGTGATAAAATATCCCTCATTATCAGGCTTTTAAATAAACTTTGCTTGACTCATGCTAAAAACTTTTCTTCCGTAGCTTTCTGATATGTGCTGGTATTTGATTCCACTTATAATCTTA